TCCTCTCTCCTCTCTCTCTCCTCTCTCTCCTCCTCTCTCTTCTCTCTCTCTCATCTCGTCTCCTCTCTCCTCCCTCCTCTTCTCTTCCCTCTATCTCATTCTCGCTCGCTCCTCATCTCTCTCTCCTCCTCCTCTCCTCTCTCTCTCTCTCTTCCTCTCTCTCTCTCTCTCTTTTTTCTCTTCGCACCTTTCCTCCCTCTGCTCCTCTTCTCCTTTTCTTCCTCATTCTCCCTCTCTCTCTCTTTTCTCCCTGCGCATCTTTCCCCCCCCCCCCCCACCCCTCTTCTCTCTCCTCTCCTCGCCCCTCCTCCCACGCGTCCTCTCCGACCTCCTACCTCTCTCACTCTCTCTCCCCGCGTTCTCTCTCTCTCTCTCTCTCCCCTCTACTCTCTCTCATCCTCACTCTCCCTCTCCTCTCTTCTTTCTCCTCTCTTCTCTCTCTTCTTCTCTCTTCCTCGTATCTCTCGGGTCTTTCTCCTCTCTCTCGTCACCTCTCATCTCCTCTCTCTTTTCTCTCAAGCCATCCTTTTCTCTCCACTCTTTCTCTTCTCTCTCCTTTCTCTCTTCTCTCCCTCTCTTTCTCTCCCTCTCCCTCTCTCTCCCTCTCTTTCTCTCTTCTCCCTCTTTCTCTCTCTCTTCTCCCTCTTTCTTCTCTCTTCTCTCCTCTCTCTCATCTCTCTCTCTCTCTTCCCATTCCTTCCTTTTGCTCTCTCTCCTCTCGTCCTCGGTTCATCTCCTCGTCTCGGCTCTTCCCTCGCCGTCTTCTCTCTCTCTCTCCAATCTTTCTCTCTCTCTCGCCTCAATCCTCTCACATCTCTCTCTCCCCTCTCCCCCTCTCTCGGTTCCTCTCCCTCCTCTCCCTCTCGTCAAGTCTCCTCTCTCTGTCTCTCTCCATTCTCCTCTCTCTCTCTCTCTCTGCCTCTTTCTCTTTCTCTCTTCTCTTTCTCTGTCTCTACTCTCCCTTCCCGCTTTCTCCTGTCGTCGTCTCTCTTTCTCTGTCTCTCTCCTCTCTCTTCTTTTTCTCCTCTTTCCTACCTCTCCTCTCTCGCCGTCCTCTTTCTCCTCCTCCTCTCTCTCTCCCGGCCCCATCTCTCCTCTTCTCTCTCCTCCCCCTCTCTCCTCCTCTCTCTCCACCCCTATACCTGCTCCCTCTCCTCTCCCTCCTCTCTCTCCTCTCCCGTCACTCTCCTCGCTCTCGTCTCCCTCTCTCTTCTCTTCTTCTTCTTCCATTTCTTTTGCTCATCTCTTCTCTCTCTCCCCTTCTTCCCTTTTGCTCTTCTCTCTCTCTCTCGTCCTCTCGTTCCCATTCTCATACCTCATCTCTCTCCGTCCGTCTCTCTCTCTTCTCTCTCTCTCGCTCGTCTCTCCTCTCCTCTCTCTCTCTCCTCTTCTCTTTCTTCTCTCTTTCTCTTTTCTCTCTTTCTCTTTTCTCTCTTTCTCTTCTCTCTCTTCTTCTTTCTCTTCTCTCCTCTTCTCTCTTTCTCTTCTCTCTCTCTCTCCTCCCTCCTTCCCTCCCTCCCTCCTCCTCCTCCCTCTCCGTCCCTCCCTCCTCCCTTTCTCCTCCCCCCCGCCCCCTCCCCCTCCCTCTCCCTCTCTCCCCTCCCCCTCCCCCTCCCTCTCTCCCCCCCCTCTCCCCTCTCCTCCTTCCCTTTCTCTCCCCCGCCCCCTCCTCCTCCCTCTCTCTCCCCCACCTCCTCCTCCTTCCCTTTCTCTCCCCCACCCCACCCTCCTCCCCCCTTTCTCTCCCCTCCCCCCACCCGCCCCCTTCTTCCATTCTTCCTCCCGTTCTCTCCCCCCCCCCCCTCCATCCCTCCTCCCTTTCTCCTTTCTCTCCCCCTCTCCCCGCCCCGCCTCCTCCTCCCTCTCTCTCCCTCTCTCTCACCCCCGCCCCCTCCTCCTCCCTCTCTCCGCTCCCCCGGACACCTCCTCCTCCTCCTTTCTCTCCCCCTCCCCCCCTTCCTCCCCTTTCGCATCTACTCCTCGCCCCCCCCCGCCCCTCCTCCTCCCTTTCTCTCCCCCGCCCCCTCCCCCTTCCCTCCCTCTCTCTCGCCCCCCTTCCCCTCCTCCTCCTCTTCTCCCTCCTCTCCCCCCTCCTCCATCCTCCCCTTTCTCTCCCCCGCCGTGTTCTCTCTCCCCCCTGCCCCCCTCCTCCTCCGGTCTCTCTCCTCTCTCCCCTCCTACTCCCCCCCCTCCTCCTCCCTTTCTCCTCCGCCCCACCCCCTTCTCCTCCCTTTCCTCCTCCCCCACCCCCTCCTCCTCCCTTTCCCCTCTTCCCCCCCCCACCCCCTCCTCCTCCCTTTCTCTCCCCGCCCCCTCCCCCTCCCTCTCTCTTCCCCCCCCCCCCCCGCCCCCCCCCTCCTCCTCCCTTTCTCTCCCCCCGCCCCCCCTCCTCCCTTTCTCTTCTCTCCCCTCCCCCCGCCCCCATCCTCCTCCCTTTCTCCCCATCCCCCCCCCCTCCTTCCTCCCTTTCTCTCCCCCGCCCCCTCCTCCTCCCTTTCTCCTCCACTCCCCACCCCCCCCCCCCCCTCCCCCTCCTCTTCTCCCTTTCCCTTCCCCCGCCCCCTCCTTCTCTCTCCTTTTTCCTCCCCCGCCCCCTCCTTCTCCCTTTCTCTCTCTCTCCCCCCCCCCTCCTCCTCCCTTTTCTCTCCTTTCTCCCTCTCTCCCCGCCCCCCTACCTCCTCCCTTTCTCTCCCCCGCCCCCGTCTCACTCCTCCCTTTCTCTCCCCCACCCCCTCCTCCTCCCTTTCAACCAAATCCTCTGCCTCCCCGCCCCGCCCCTTCACTCCCTTTTTCTCCCCCAGATTCCCCCACCTTCTCCCTTTTCTCCCTCTTCTCCTCCCCCGACTCCCCCCCCTCCTCCTACACTCCCTTTCTCTTCTCCTCTCTCCCCCGCCCCCTCCTCCTCCTCTTTCTCTCCCCCTCCCCCTCCTCCTTCCTTTGCGCTCCCCCCCCCCCCTCCTCCTCTCCCTTTCTCTCGGTTCTTTCCCCCCGCCCACCCCCTGCCCCCTCCTCCTCCTCCTCCTACCCTTTCCCTCTCCCCCTCCCCCACTCCTCCTCACCTTTTTCTCTCCCCACGCCCCTCCTCTCCCTTTCTCTCCCCCCTCCCCCCTCCCCTCCTCCTCCGCCTTTCTCTCCCTATCCTCCGTCCCCCCCCCCCTCCTATCCTCCCTTTCCCCCCCCGCCCCTTCCTTCTCTCTGCCTTTT